TGTCACTCACCGTAGAGTCCGTCCTCTGGTGTTTGGTTTCCGGACACAGACATGCTGCTGACACTGACGGTGGAGGACCAGCAGGTGCAAACTGTCCTCTGTCTCCTCCAACTGTCTCCTGGGTTTGCAGCGTGCACTCTGAACATGCACTGAACTGCACTCCTCCTCCTCCTCCTCCTCCTCCTCCTCCTCACCCCCCTCCTTTCCCTTTCCCTCCTCCTTCTCCCCTTCTGTCTCCTCCGCCTTGCTTCTTCAACCCTTCTGAACACAACTGAATCAAACACCAAAACTTTACTCCAGAAGTATCAGACCCTGCAGTGTGCAACACTTTTTAGATGGGTTCTCACACTATGGTACGTGTACCACTGGTTGTCCATCTAGTGGTCCATTTTGTAATAAGGAATGAGTGAGTGAGTGATGAAATACTGCTGTCTTCCCACAGATTTCCACAAATTTAAATGTCTTCCATTAAACATAATGCAGACATCAATTAAAAAAATGACCATTCATTTCATAGCTCTGAGTTTATGGAAGATAATAATTTTATATATGTCTGCTAGTAGTAGTAGTAATACGTCAGCAATCATTTTGTTGTTAAACATGAACACATCAAGCTGAACACAAACAATGTTCAGGTGTTTGTTTGACAGGTTTGAGTAGAACGGTAATGTGAGGTACATTGTACTGTAAAAGTCAAAATAAGAAATGTATGTTGAACACCATAAGCACCAAAGAGTAAAATAAAGTATAAAATATTTTACTCTATGGTGCTATAATATTTTTATTTCATTGTTTACTTTTTAAGTTTTTAATCTTTACACTTGCAGGGAGAAATACTGCATTTTGATGTTTAAAGAAAACATTTAATTTTTTTTTTTTGCAGTTAAAAACTCTACTTCCTGTTTTGGCCTAGAGGGGCAGGACCAGCCTTTTCAGCCAATCAGTTCACAGCATGAAGTTTAAAATGCCTGGATTGAGGCCTGTTCTCTGCTCAGTCTAGTCCTCCATTGGTTTACCCCACACAGCAAGTGACTGCCATCTGTGACTGAATGAGTAAGTTTGTAAAGTTAAATTGTCCCTTAAACCTGACAGTATTTGACTGAATATATATATATATAAATATATCTACACCTCTGTTGTTGCTGTTCCTTATCTGTTGTCTGTTTATGACCTGATTCTAGCGTAAAGCTAAGCTACGTCGCTATCATTAGTTTACTGGTGGCTATCAGTTCAATGTATTGAATGCTGTGCATTAAAAATGTTTTCTACTTAATTTACTTTAAAGTATTTTAAAATATTGCAGTAACAGGTGTTTTTTTCATAGACTTTTATCCCCAGGCTGAATAAACTCTGCTTTGCTCAAAGGGTTTTGCTTTATCTGATGCTAATAAGTTGTGTTTTGCTCCATTAGCTTTGAGAAGCTACAGTGCTAATTCAGAGTAACAAGCATGTATGTGTGTGTGTGTTACAATGCTATACAAAGCACAGTGTTTTGAACCATGTGGCAAAACATTGTGAAAAAGCTGAACGTTGTGTCAATCAGTTCTCAACTTGATGGTTTGTTTTTTGGAGCAGTTCAGTTCAGTTCAGTGGACTGTCAGACATCACTGTTGTTCACTGTACTGTACAGTGTGTACAAACACAACTGAGGAAATGAAGAGTCAGCTTGTACATTCTGCTGTGGTACAGTGTTGGTTTTGGTAGCACCTTGAATCTCTCACAGTCGTTAGGAACTGGCTAAATATACTGAACATTATTTACTGTAACACTGTCACCGTTAACTGCCCGTTACATTTCCTGGCTCAGTACTTATAAACGTGATCAATTAATCATTGTTTTTACACACTTCAATAATAAAAAAAAAAGACCAAAAAATAACGTTTTGGTTAAAAAGAGAACCACAAGACTTTTAGTTGTTCAAATGTGTTTTTACCAAAATTCTTGCCTTAAAAAAAACAACTAAAAGTTAACGTCATAAACCATCTCGCTACTAAAACATGTACTAATCTGAATAAGTTGAAGCCAACTTACATTTTAAATGTTTAACATTTTTTCTTCCGACGTCAAATACAAGTATGAGAAGCTGAGGCCCGGCGTCTTATTTCGTCCGCCTTCATGTCTTTGAACGATTGCCGTTATTGCATCTGCTTTTCATCATTTTCAGCATCATTTTCAGTTTGACTACGAATCTAGTGCAGTATGTTATTTTTATAGGAGAGAAATTGGTTTCTTTTTTTTTTCCATAACAAATCCACATGGACTTGTTTAAACAAACCATTTATTCATCTAAGGTTTGATTAGTGGATTGCTGGCGCAATCCGCTGGCGCTAAGTGAGGGGAGCGTGTTGTGTTTTTAAGCTATCGTTTAGATTGTTTCTTATTTTGAGGGATCATTTAAATAGCACTCATCTCCGTCAATGTGGTAGAACTCCACTTTGTGTAGTTTAAAGTTTATTGGACGGATGAGAGGAGCAGAAATTCCCCAATTCACAACATAAAGGCCACAGATGGGAAAAAAAAAAGGATCTAAAAATCAATGTAACTGCTGATAGATCGTAAAATGAGCGTTTGTCCTCCTCCAATCAAAACAGGTCGTCTATGTTCTATGTGGTTAGATTGAATCACTCATGACGATGCCCTCTTTTCATTCGTACCTTATTTTTACCTGCATTGAATTGGACAGTGTTTGGATGTTGTACTGAAACGGGTGTCAAATACTGAGTAAAAACCATGTGACGGAACCAAACAGATCTATATTTGTGGAACCTATATTCTTAAGATGACTAACCGTTGCCTTCCTGTTCCCCCTATATAAAAATTAAAAACTATTTTTCCCATTTAAAATTGATACATTATTATCATTCTATCCATCCATCCATCCATCCATCCATCCATCTGAACTTCACATTACTGGCTGAAACTTGTACCCAAACTTTTACAGAGCCGACGCCCCGCTGCCTACTACTTCTCGGCTCCCAAACCTTATGATTCTCTGGCATCAATAGGGGACGACCTGAAGAGCCAGAAGCTTTTCCCAGATCCTGCTTTGATTTGTTTTTCTCAGCACAAAGCCAGTTTAATTTATTTTGCCTTATACTTTGCTTTCTGTTCAGTGTGTCTGGTTTTCCATGATACTACTTTAATGACTGTCAGTACGAGATATAGAAACAACTCTTAGCTATCAGCCCTCTGGGAAACACATGTTGGGCTAGAAAACTATTTTGTTCCTGTTCAACTGAATAATCTTAATCATTCCTGACATTCCTTTAGCTGGATAGTTGGGGAGCTGTGGTGGCCGTAAGGTTAACAATAAAAAGATGCAGCAAAAAGATGCAGCTCTGAGTTGTATTAGGGACGGTATTCCCAGCAGATCTGACTTCATTGAGGAGTCGTTGGAGCGTGAACAGCAATATTAAGAAAAGAAAAGAACCTCTTTGGACGCACAGAGGGAGAAATAAGTCGAGCAGAGACTGGACCTGAAATAAATAATTGAGTAGACTATTATCAAAGATCAGCATTAGAACTCCTTAAAGACCGGAGAACTTTTTTTTTTTTTTTTGAGCGAGGCTCTTTCATATTTGCTCTCTTTCATGGTAAAATATAAATGGACACATTGGGTATGAGTTATTCTAAAACAGACACTCGTGTTTTTGATGTCACATGTCTGGGCCTAATTAGCAGTTATTGCCAAATATAAAAATATTCTATGATGTATATGTGCTGCAAAATACACTTATATGCAAGGACTCTCATGGTTGCCTCCTCCTCATCATCAGTAGATCATGCCTGGAAAACCATTTTAAACAACCTGTGTGTTTCTGGTATCAGGTCACACACTCAGTGCTCTGTATTGTTGTTGTGGCTGCAGAAGCAGTGCAGAAGGCAAATGCAGTGTTCATGGTAATGCTAATGTACATAACCCTTATTGGGTCTTATAAATAATAATCCAGTGAACCTGAACCCCCTCCCCAGGGACAAATAAGAGGACAACTTTTGAGGGAAAACTGCCTCTTTTTTTTCTTCTCTCTCCTGAATCCGTTCACAAGGGGCATTGTAATGCAACACTGCAAAAACAACACCGCCACCTGCTGGAGAGAGTAGCCACAAAGGTCTATGAGCTCAGGCAGGATTTCTCTCCAGCATTAAAGTTTGACATCTCCACTCTGGTTTAGACACGGGTTGTCTTCCTCTTCCACTATTTTTTGAGAAAAATACATTTTCAAACTTATTCTCAGCAGATAGGAAGATCCAACATTAATAATCGATGCAAAACATTGTTAGTGCTGCCTGGTGTGGAGCAGGAGCCAGACGGCTTTCTGCTTTTCATTTTTGCCCCTTTATTCCCTTGCCAGGCAGCCTTCCTGCTCTGACCCCCAGCCTTGTCTCTACACCACAGGGCAGACGCAGAATGTCACCGGTGGGTTGAGAAACAAAGACAAGGAAAGTTCCCCCATCCATCAAAGGAACCTTGACAACGTCCCAGTCCCGGCTTGGATCAAAGAGGAATATGCCAACTGAACGCAGGTCCGGCAAATGGCTGCCCACCTTGTTCATCCATCATGCCTGGGAGCCAGATAGCAGAATAACAAAAACCTTTTCAGGTAATGACCACGTCCAGATCTCACCATTATACTTGTCTGCTACACTACAACCTTGTTTGAGGCTATGATTGATCACTGGATCCGTGCGTACATTAAAAGAATCTGCTTAAAATTCAGCAGCCGGTCAGACGTGGAGGCTGATTAATGAGTGCCAGAGAAACTCGTGGTGTTCCTCCAGCGTGCAGACATGATCTGATTGCATGCAGAGTTTTTTTGGATTACTTCAACAATTAGGGCTGGGCTGAGATGAATGTAACTACATGTACCTGGAGGAAACAGAGCCAGGGATGGAATGAGAGAAAGAGGGAGGAAGGATATGATAAATAAAGCAACATTATGGTAAATAGTTTTATCTGGCACATTGTGGATGGGTTGGATAATCAGTACACAGCCTGGTCTTACAATAACACTTGCATTGGAAATGCTGGATTATTTGATAGCAGAATGTCCGTGTGAGCCAAATCTGGGTTTAATTGCTCCACATGAGGCCAAAGTGGGCAAGTTGCTCGTGACTACATGGGGCCTGTAAACAAAGCAATATGGGTCTTTTGCTCTGCCCAACACGCTGCAACATGGGTCTTATAAACAAATACAACATTTTATCTGGTCTTATTGTTTTGGTGATTTGGACAGTAGCTACTCATCTGTCCCAGTCGTGTTCACCTGCCTCTGCAAAGCACAACATTAATCTTCACATTAATCTTTGCAAGTAATTTGTAAGTAAAGTATTCTAGGAATATTCCCAGTAGTTTGTAGTAACTGAACTGGGGGATGCCAGCTTACTCAAAACCAAAGATGGGTGAAGTTGTCAACTGAGATTCACAGATGACGATCCCAGTATCTGTATCAAACCTAATGCTTCATCAAAATACTTAGTACTAGTAA